CCTGTTCTTCCTCCCACCTATCCCCTCCTCCCACCTCAAGCCGCACCTCCATCTCCTACCGACCAACCTCATCCCGCCCCCTTGACCTGTCCGTCCTCCCTGGACTGACCTATCCCCTTCCTAACTCCCTACCTACACTCACCTTTCCTGGCCCCATCCCCGCCTCTTCGACCTGTTTGTTTCTTCTCCACCTATCCTCTCCTCCATCCCTCTTCTATCCGCCTCCCACTCTCTCCCTATTTATTTCAAAACCCCCTTCCCCTCCCCCTTTTCTGATGAAGGGTCTAGGCCCGAAACGTCAGCCTCTCTGCTCCTATGATGCTGCTTGGCCTGCTGTGTTCATCCAGCCTTGCACCTTGTTGTCTCGGATTCTCCAGCATCTGCAGTTCCTACTATCTCTACCAAACCATTACCTACTGAACGGCACAGATTCCTAGGTCTGCTACAAGTGCCACATCAAAAAGGTCTAAAATGTTTCCACTAAAGAGACCCGATGCCCTTCATGAGAATTTGATGGCAGAGTTTTTGTAATCATCCTGGGCTGAAGAGCTTAGAGAGCACCCTCAAGAAAATTTAACTTAAAAAAGGAAATCATGTCTCCTGCATTGATGACAACAGAATCTTCAAGCTGTAGATCTTGCTAAAGGAATGGAACATAAAAATCGAGATGTTTTGCTATAATCATACAGGGCATTGGTAAGACATTTAGTGTTCCGCATACAATTATGGCTTCCTTATTTAAGAAAGATCATATTGCATTTTAAGTAGTTTAAAGAAGGTTCACTCAACTGACTCCTTGGATAAGAGGTTATGCTATGAGGAAAGGTTGGATACGTTGAATCCAAATCCATTGGAGTTTAGAAGAATGAAAAATAATCTTGTTGAAATGCGCAAGATCCTGAAGGAACTTGAGAGGTGGATGCTGAAAGAATGTTTCCATTTAATGGAGAGAGTACAAGGGGATCAAGTATAAAAACAAGGGGAAATCTCCATTTAAGATGGAGATGATAGCTGTTTTCCTCAGAGGTCCTGAGTCTGTTGAACTCTCTCCCAGAAAGAACAATAGAATAATTTTACAAGTAGAGGTAGATAGATCCTTCACTAACAAGGGAAGTAAAGGATATTGGGGGTTATGCAAGAAAGTGGAATTAAGCCCGCAGTTGGATTAACCATGAACTTATTGAATTGTACAGCAGAGTAGAGGGTCTAAGGCCTGCTCCTGCTCCTAATTCATATGGTCTGAGGGGAAAACAACTTGGTGCTCAGTACAACTGATACAAAGACACTCTTAAAAAGACCCTCCCAAAGTTCCACGTTACAGACTTCTCTTGGAAAAACACTGCAGAAAACTGGGCCTTGTGGAAGAAAACATGAAAACTGGTTCAGCACGCTTCAACGGTCATCTAGAAAGATTCACAATATCCAATATGACCAGGCAAAGAACAGAGATGACACAGCTGAAGCAGACCCTCACCCCCACCCACTTCCCTCCATCACTATCATCACCACCACCCAAATACCAAACAGTGACAACATGAGCTGCTAGTTTGTGATTATCCATGCCAACTTCACAAACTCCTCAGGCACGAAAGGACTCATATTAGTCAATCACATCATTTTCAAGTTGGGCATATTTGAACAATGAGGAGTCAATCATCAACAAGCAACAGTGAAAATCACCCACCCAACTCATAGTGAACTGTGACTTGCTAGTTCTTTCAAACTAGCTGTATCTTTTTAATAGTCTAAACAATGTACATATTAAACTCACCAATCCCACCAATGAGCCGTAAGAGCCACTGCACCACACACAATGTTATTAATCAACTGGATTTGTAGATGTAATGACAGTGAAACTGGCAAGGTTCATTATCATTCCAACTACAAAACTGACAGAAATTTCCACAAACTGCATTGTTAAAATGGAAGTCTTCTGAAATCACTTAAATTGATGAATTTCCATTTTAATGCTGTTGGTCTCAATGCAGTGGAGGTGCCAGTATTGGACTGGATTGGACAAGGTCAGAAATCACACGACACCAGGTTACAGTCCAACAGGTTTATTTGAAAACACAAGCTTTCGGAGCGTAGCCCCTTCATCAAGTGAAGTGAGAAGGAAGCACACAGAACACAGAATTTATAAATAAAAGATCAAAGGGTCACATAACTGATGAGTATGTACTAAACAAACCGAAGGTGCTGTTAAATCTTTAATCAGTTAGAAGGTTAGAAGGCAGACTTTGGGATATACAACAACGCAGAGTAACCGAGCAGAGGCTGAAAACCAAGTTTAGTACCCATGAGGGCAGCCTCAACCGGGATCTTGGGTTCATGTTGCACTACAGGTTACCCTACCAAGTTACAGACTCTCTCACACACGCATACATTCACGCACCGCACGCTCCCTCCCCCAACCCTCCCACACACACGCTCCCTCCCTTTCCTGAGCACGCTCACTCCTTTTCTCTTGTGCGCGCGCACGCGCACACACACACACACACACACACACACACACACACACACACATCTATGGGGTGAATTTGTATTTGTAGATACATTCTATTTTGTTCTAAAAGCACACAATTTATAGAAAGTCAGTCAATATGGAATTTTATAAATTCCTACTTTAGAAATAAAACCAGTTTGACTCCAGACCAAAACCCAAACAGATTCTAAACAATGCCTCACACCTAACATACACTGTCTGACCTAAAATGTTACCCACTTCTTTGCGCTAACTAAACCTTTAGTTCTCCCAAGGCAGTGACTTCAACGGAATTTCGGGATTTACATGTACATATTAATCAATTAAAATCTTATAACTGATTAAAGATTTAACAGAATCTTAGGTGTGTTTAGTACATCCTCAACAGTTGTGACCCTTTGATCCTTTACTTATAAATTCTGTGTTTGTGTGCTTCTTTGCCACTTCACCTGACAAAGGGGCTATGCTCTGAAAGCTTGTGTTTTCAAAGAAACTTGTTGGACTATAACCTGGTGTCATGTGAATTTTGACCTAGTCTCAATGCAACGATCCTTGAAAAAGTCATGCATCCTGAAGAAAATGTAACAAGGGTTATAGTGATGGACCAAGTTCATACATACTGCAACTTCACTGACCCTAAAAAACTAGTTCTACAATTAAGACCATAAGACACAAGAGCAGAAGTTAGGCCATTTGTCCCAACAAGTCTGTGCTGCCATTTAGTCATGGCTGATAAGTTACTCAACCCCATTCTCCTGCTTTATCCCCGCAACTTTTGATCCCCTTAACAATCAAGAACTTATCTATCTTTGGTTAAAATATACAGAATGACCAACGGTGTAAATATCATGATAATAAAACAAAATCAGAGAGTCGTTCACACCACAGAAGATGAGCATTTAGCTCACCCTTTGCATGCTGGGCAAAAAAACCCCCAAAGAACTGATGCTGCTGGAAATCAGGAAGAAGTAGTTTGAGTTTTTAAAACAGCTAGTTTATGGTATTTCGTTTTATGCCTTAATTTTTGCTTTATGTAAAATGAAAACGTGATGAATAATCAATTGCTGTCTTGTGGTGGAGATAGTAGGAACTGCAGATGCTGGAGAATCTGAGATAACAAGGTGTAGAGCTGGATGAACACAGCAGGCCAAGCAGCATCATAGGAGCAGGAAAGCTGACGTTTCAGGCCTAGACCCTTCATCAGAAATGGGGGAGGGGAAGGGGGTTCTGAAATAAATAGGGAAAGACGGGGGAGGCGGATAGAAGATGGATAGAGGAGAAGATAGGTGGAGAGGAAACAGACAGGTCAAAGAGGTGGGGATGGAGCCAGTAAAGGTTAGTGTAGGTGGGGAGTTAGGGAGGGGATAGGTCAGTCCAGGGAGGATGGACAGGTCAAGGGGGCGGGATGAGGTTAGTAGGTAGGAGATGGGGGTGTGGCTTGAGGTGGGGGGAGGGAATAGGTGGGAGGAAGAACAGGTTAGGGAGGGGGGGGGATGAGCTGGGCTGGTTTTGGGATGCGGTAGGGGGAAGGGGAGATTTTGAAGCTTGTGAAATCCACATTGATACCATTGGGCTGCAGGGTTCCCAAGCGGAATAGGAGTTGCTGTTCCTGCAACCTTTGGGTAGCATCGTTGTGGCACTGCAGGAGGCCAAGGATGGACATGTCGTCTGAGGAATGGGAGGGGGAGTTGAAAACTTGATTGTTGTTTTGGGCACCAGTGGTCGCCTCGAGTCATGGCAGTGTCGAAAAAAGCCACAGAGATTACTAAGCCTGGCTTTGCTGAGGCTTTGAGATCACTTTGCACCTCGATGCAACACGAAAATGTTATTGGCCCACCCGTTTTCATGGAGATAGTTGGGTTATGAAACCTGCAGCGCTTACCGGTGGATGTAATGGCCGATGAACATTCCCAAGAGCAAGCGATTGGGAAGCGGCAAAGGTTTAATATCAGTGCTGAAACACACCAGATAAAGTGGTACTGTCAGAGACGGCAGCTCCTGGATGAACCAGGCAATCTTCACGTTGACTGGAAAGCCGAACTTGCTGCAAGCATACCTCCCGTACGGCAAATCGACGAACTTCAAGACCACGAAGACACCGCCTCCCAGCAGGACCATGAACCAGGAGAGCGATTCCAGCAACAATTCACTATCATTACCCATACCCGAAACAAATAGGGGCATTGACCGCCACAACATGTTGAAGAATTACTGACAAATGGCAAGACTTCCTCTCTATTTACACAGAAGACAAGCCCACTATCAACCCAGAAATTTCAACAACGAAAAACGTGGTGAAGGCAGGTTAAAGTATCGTTACTGCATTCCCTGCTTTAAGAGGGAATGTGGCTGATTTGATAATAACCAATCAGAAACGGCGTTGCTTCAGGGGACTGGCACGCTAATTCACCGGAGCTCGATAAAAGCAGCGAATTCCAGTAGACCGAGCAGAGAGGTTTTGTCTCGGATTCTCCAGCGTCTGCAGTTCCTACTATCTCGAATTCCAGTAGAGCTGTGTTCTCAGCCCATTTATATAAATGTCTCTAAGAGGAATGCCTCTTTGCTCATTGTAATAGCGTACTGAACTCGCTGGGGGCAGTTACACGGAAATGAAATGCTTATTGCAATTCCCCCAAAGTAGGGTTATTATAGTACACCTCAGGCCCCAGTTGTGTGTCATTACACACCTGAACAGGTTTGTTAAAAGATATTTTTCATCACCAACATAGAAAGTTGACAAATACATCTTGCGACAACAAGGTGCAGGGCTGGATGAACACAGCAGGCCAAGCAGCATCATAGGAGCAGAGAGGCTGACGTTTCGGGCCTAGACCCTTCATCAGAAAAGGGGGAGGGGAAGGGGGTTCTGAAATAAATAGGGAGAGAGTGGGAGGCGGATAGAGGAGAGGAAACAAACAGGTTGAAGAGGCGGGGATTGAGCCAGTAAAGGTGAGTGTAGGTGGGGAGTTAGGGAGGACGGACAGGTCAAGGGGGCGGGATGAGGTTGGTCGGTAGGAGATGGAGGTGCGGCTTCAGGTGGGAGGAAAAACAGGTTAGGGAGGCAGGGACGAGCTGGACTGGTTTTGGGATACGGTAGGGGGAGGGGAGATTTTGAAACTTGTGAAATCCACATTGATACCATAGGGCTGCAGGGTTCTCCAGCATCTGCAGTTCCTACTATCTCTTGCGACAACTTGTGTTTGAGGCCGTGTTTATGAGGCCCTTTTGGTGTAATAAAACACTCAAACATTGACACTGACTCACGTAAGGAAATAAAACAAAAGATAGACATGGGGAGTGGTTTAATGTTTTATTTTGAGAAGATTTGTAGCTCGGGTTGTGGATGAGGCTGTAGACTTGCTTGCAGAGCCGATGTGTTTGATTGCGGACGTTTTAAAATCCTGCTAGGTAACATCGTCAGTGCGCCTGTGGTGAAGTGTTGGTGTTCTGTCCCACTTCTTACTTATATGCCTCAGTTTGCTGGGGTGGTTGGCATTACTTCCGGTTTTGTTTTTTAATGGTTTGTATATCGGGTCCAGTTCAATGTGCTTGTTGATGGAGTTCCGGTTGGAATGCCAGGCCTCCAGGAATTCCCTGTCATGTCTCTGTTTGGCTTGTGCTATTATGGGTGTGTTGTCCCAGTCGAATTCATGTCCTTCTTTGTCCATGTGTATTAAGACCAGTGAGAATTGGTCGTGTCTTTGGTGGCTAGTTGGTGTTTGTGTATCCTTATTGTCAGTTTTCTTCCAGTTTGGCCTGTGTAATGTTTCTCCTCGTCCTTGTATGGTATTTTGTATATTATGTTAGTTTTATTGGTTGTGGGTATAGGATCTTGTATGTTCATCAGTAGCTGTTGCAGGGTGGTTGTTGGTTTGTGGGTACTCTGATACCTGGGGAAAACTATAACACACCACCCTGTTCCCTGGCCAACATCTAGGTCTCTGGCTTGTTGCAATGTTCCAGCAAAGCTCAACACAAGCTGGAAGAATAACACCTCATTTTCTGCTTGGGGACCCTGCAGCCCTCCGGACTCAGTATTAAGTTCAATAATTTTAGTGCCTCCCATGTCCTAGCCCCCCTACCCCAAACACAACAGGCCTTGTTATTACACAGCCTGCCATTACACACTACCTATTGTCAATCACTAACAGTCCCCATTAACTACTCCCCCTCCTAGCCAGATTGTTATCAACTCCTTTGTCTATCCAACTGCTCTTCTGTCTCTTCTGGCTCTATCCTATCATTTACTCCCTATCTCATCCCCCTCCCTATTTTCTGCATATAAACTGACATTTACCCAACTATCACCAGTTCTGAGGAAGGGTCACCAGACCCGAAACGTTAACTCATTTTTTTTTTCTTCACATGCTGCCAGATCTGCAGAGCTTCTCCAGCAACTTCTGTTTTTGTTCCTGATACCTAGGGGTCTGAATAATCGTGTGGTCATCTCTGATGTATGGTAGGGTGACTAGTGTGTCTGGCTGTGTTGTGTTTTCTTGTTGTCTGTCACGGAGATAACGGCAGATTGTGCTTCTTGGGTATCTATTCTTTTTAAAAACTCTAAGTGCTGCTGTTCTGCTTTGCTCAGTTCTGGATTGCTACAGTGTGTTGTGGCCTGTTTGAATAATGTCCTGATGCAGTTTTATTTATGGGTGTTGGGGTGGTTGCTGGATAATTAAGTATCTGGTCCGTATGTGTGGTCTTTCTGTATCCAACTGGAACTCCATCAACAAACACATCGAACTGGACCCGATATACAAACCACCATAAAACAAAACCGGAAGTGATGCCAACCACCCTTGCAAGCCGAGGCATATAAATAACAAGCGGGACAGAACACCAACACTTCACCGGAGGCACTGATGATGTTACCTAGCAGGGTGACGAAACAAAACCAAACACACTGGCTCGGCAAGCAAGTCTACAGCTTTGTAGGGAGTGGTTTATGAACTGAATCAATTCTTAGGACACCGGTATTTGAAGGCATAGCCACTAATGATGGAGCCACTACTCTCTGACATAGTCAAAATGTTCACCTTGGAAGGTTGTAGACCTTAAAGAGATTACAGAGCAAGGGAAGAGCAGCGCAGTGGAGGGTTGTGGAAACAAGTTTGAATTTAAAATAAAGGCATTGCTTAATTAGGAGCCAGTGTAGATCAGCGATCACAGATGATGGGTTTGCAAGATTTGCAACAAGCGGAGTTAGAAAGCCTCTACTCTCCAATACAGCTGCCCAGGTCCTACTACGGTTTTAAGGCCCCAAGATCTTCAACTCTCACCCTCTCAAACAAATCCAACCCCCATGTTTCCCCTGATCTCCCACGTCATCTCTATGTCTTAGAATCTTAGAATCCCTACAGTGTGGAACCAGGCCCTTTGGCCCAACAAGTCCACACTGACCCTCAGAGCATCCCACCCATTCCCATCCCCACGTAACCCACCTAATCTACACATCCCTGAACACTATGGGCAATTTAGCATAGCCAATCCACCTAGCCTGCACATCTTTGGTCAGTGGGAGGAAACTGGAGCACCTGGAGGAAATCCATGCTGACACGTGGAGAATGTGCAAACTCCACACAGACAGTCGCCCGAGGCTGGAATCGAAGCCAGGTCCCTGGCGCTGTGAGGCTGCAGTGCTAACCACTGAGCCATTGTCTTGATTCTCTTTACCACCTCATGCCATCATGTGCCCTCTGTAGCCACTCATCAAATATGCATTGTGTGTGGCCTCTGGAGAAATGCAAGAACAATGTGGATTGTTTTAAAATCACTGGAAACAAATAAATGTCTTACAATCTAACTGAACAGTGAATTCAAATGCACTATGATTGACGTGGGAAAGAAAATAAAACTACTCCAGTGCAACGAAAATAAAACTACTCCAGTGCAACAAAACTAATCAGTTAAGTGCTTACAAGTCATATCAACAAACAAGAAACAACATCAAAGCCATATTCTTTTATTAAAGCCTTGTACGAATGGCTCTTAGATAAACCGGCTATTTAATGAGGTGTTATTAGCATTCGACACACAGTCAAGCATTCAGAATGATGGCAATAACGGCTACATTTCTGGCTTGTAAGTGTCAAGCACTGTGTCCAATTTCTATTTTGAAGCAGAATGTCTGTCAATCAACATATGGCAGCAAATGCGAAGTTTTTTTTCAACCTTCAAAGCAAGGTACTGTCAGTTCAGAGAGTTATAGAGATAAACAGCACAGAAACAGACCCTTCAGTCCAACTTGTCCATGCCAACCCAGATATCGTAAATTAATCTAGTTCCATTTGCCAGCATTTGTCCCATACCACTCCAAACCCTTCCTATTTATGTACCCATCCAAATGCCTTTTAAATATTTTAAATGTTGTAATTGTACCAGCCTCCATCATTTCATTTGGCAGCTCATTCCATACACACACCATCCTCTGTGTGAAAAAGTCCCCCCTCAGGTTCCTTTTAAATCTTTCCCCTCTTAAACCTATGCCCTCTAATTTATGGAGTCCCCTATCCTGGGAAAAAGACCTTGGCTATTTATCCCATCCCATGCCCCTCATGATTTAATAAACCTCTCTAAGGCCTCTGCCTCCAACGCTCCAGGGAAAATAGCCCCAGTCTATTCAGACTGTTCTTATTGCTTAAACCCCCAACCACTGCAACATCCTTGTAAATCTTTTATGAACCATTTCAAATTTAACAACTTCTTTCCTACAACAGGGAGACCAGAATTTAACACAGTACTCCAAAAGTGATCTCATTTTACATTTATGAATGCATCATGGCATTTTTGACAATTGAGTATGGTAATGTAAACAACTGCACATTGTTAACTCACTTATCCAGGACAGAACGTCATAATGAACCACTGTATTAAAAACATAGTAAAATACAGCACTTAATAGTGACATTTAAAGTATCAAAACATTTCTCACTTACCTTTCAGCAAGTTTTTGACTCCTTAGCTGGTGTTCCCGATAGTCACAATCTCTCCAAGGAGATGCTTTATTTTCACTTTTACAACATTCACAGGGGTAAACAAAGATAATATACAGGAGCAAATATCTATGGTCATCAAAATGGGGACCATGCTGGGAAGGCACAGGAAATAGTTTTACTCAAAAAAAACTGAGTTCATTATTTTGCAATCTGATTTGCATTTTCTTTGTGAGATGGAAATCTGGCTGTATGTTTCTGGACTACATCACTAAGGAAGAGAGAAATTAGAGGTTGGAAGGTGGGGGTGAGGCAAGGATAGAATCTTGGGGGACCATACAGTTAAATGAGTGGAAGCCGGAAGTGAAGTCAGTACGGGTGAATCCCTGTCCATTACCAGAAAGGTTAAATTCTAAACCAGATACAAATAGTCGCATTTAGCTTAACAATGCTTCAAAGGAGAATGGTATGATCAACTGTGCATTGATTCTGGTAGTAACTTATAGGGGACTGAGTGATGTGGCCCATGGTGAGGTATATTGCAGATTCGGGCAACGAGTGTGGCAAGGCCCGTTTGGATGTCGAGATCACCTCATTTCTATTTTTCGGACCTGTGTGTTTGGCAACTAATGATTATACCATAATTGAGAATTTAACATGGATTTTAATGCTGTATCTATTGGAGAGGTCCTAGTTTACTGAACTTGGTGAAGAAGCGTATCAAGAAAACAATAACTTTCTGATTAATGAATTTAATGGTCATATGTAGACTCCAGACATTCATGAACAATTTATTCTGCTCAGCATTATTATTAGCACATAGTTTAGGGCAATGTATTGGTGTCTCATACTTACGTACTCTGTCTATGCTAGACAAATGGTTATGTCTCTTTGGCCAAAATATGAGGTTGATAATGCCCTGCAAAGGGAAGTTTCGAAGAAATAAAATGAGATTTTGAGAAAGACACACAGGTTACATGTTAAGGTTCAGCGGAACAGTCAGAGAATCTAGACGGAGGTTAGAAACATTAAGGAATAAACTTGATGGAATGATCTGAGGAAGGGTCACTGGACCCGAAATGTTAACTCTGTTTTTTCCTTCACAGATGCTGCCAGACCTGCTGAGCTTTACCAGTGACTTTGATTTTGTTCTTGCTGGAATGATATCTGGAACTGGGGAGAAAGATATAACGGCCGCTTGGGTTCGTGTTATTTAACATCTTGTTGTTATTATTATGTTGTGAACTTAGATATATCATACTACCATGTTTCGCTGTTGGTATCAGCAACAAATGCAGCAGCTGAAAATGGAATTAGTTTTGTTAAAGCATGATAATCTTAAAACTTCAAAACTGCCTGGCCAGATGCTAACGGCCACATTATTTCAGAACCGGACCATTGTTTAACCCTGTAGTGAAACTGCTTTGTTAGAGGAATACTGTTGTCATAGTATAAACTTCAGAACTTTAATAGCTGTTCATCGATTGAAAGAAGCAGCAATATCTCTGTCTGGAATAAATTGTTAAGGAACAGGGGCAAACTGCTGTAGAGCCATGCCTGAGAGAAGGAGTCAAAGCTATGTAAACAAAATTGCTTAAACAGCTGCTTGATAACTGGCTGCCTTATGCAACAAGGATAAATGGGTGCCCTGGAGTTAACAGCAGGAAGGCTGTGTTTTCAAACAGACAGCCAATGCCAAATATAACAAGGAACACCGAAGCTACTTCTGATAAGGCAAGTGGCAGACTTGATCCTTCCAGAGGAGTTCCTTGATAAAATGTTCAATAAAGTTGCGTTGGATCTTCCCTTGACTCTTGTTACCTTTGTCTACCTCACTGTGTAACATGCCTGTGTTTAAAAAAAGGATTACTGCAAACTGATCAAGGTTAGTCAATGTACATTTACAAACCCTTTCAGTTTACTGAATTGGCATCCTAGGTGGTCCTGGTAAGAAGTACCTAAAAGGATGCTCTGGTAAATCAAACCACACCAAAAAGTGAAGGTAACCGAGAGAACCAGGTGCTTACATTGTGAGATACACACATCATAGATTTCGAGACACAAGCCCTAGAGGGGAAGATAAAGAATACAGTATGGCCAGTGGTATGAATTGGGGGGAAATCCTAATAAAATATTTAAATAAGAAGTGGCCCGAGTGGGTAAAATTTTGTGATAAACTGACATTAGGTCTGGAATCTGAGGGTCAGAATTGCTGGGAGGAAGCGCATTGTTGCTGAGGGAAGCGTGCTTCCAAAATAGTTAACACCATAGCCACAGCTAATTGTATGGATGAGCTCTGTGGTAAAGAAACAGAGATCTTAAATTTAAAGAGGCATGCAGAGAGAGAAAGAGAAGAAATAATTAGCACCACACAAGAAGTCAAGAGGAAGTTGGGGGACAGACAGAAAGAGAGACAGATCCTCAGAATTAATGAAAAGTTAGAGTGCACTAGGTTAGAATTAGAAAGAATTAATTTAAAGCTAATGGAGGAGGAGCACTGCAGACAAACATACTCGATTATAGTCCAACAGATTTATTTGAAATTGCAAGCTTTTTGAACTCAGCTCCTCCCTCAGGCATAGTGTGAGAGAAAGGGTGTAAGACACAGAATTTTCAAGTAGAAAGGTAACAGCCCTAAAACTGGCCACATCTTGTTGAATCTGTAATCAGTTAGGAAGGAGACTACTGATTAAAATGCAAAATCCAGATTCTTCTCAAGTCATTGACCTTGTCCATCCCAGTCCAACACCACATAACAAAGATACTGACTGCACATGGGACAGTTTCAGGGCCAGTTTGAGAAGGTCGAGCAGCAGGAGCAGCGGTTGATCAGGGATCGAGATGCTGCCCAAATAATTGCAGCCCAGCTTGTAGAACTGTGTAAAGATTTGCAAGCGGTGATCAGGGTCCTGCATCAAGCAGGTAAAGAAAATAAAACTCACTCTGCTGATCACTTGAAGGTCCAGAGCAAGATTGAAATTGTTACTGTTGGTACAGAGTGTGAGAGCCCTGGGGGATTGTGCCCACATTGTAGACTAGGAGGATACAGACAAGGCATACAGGTATGCTGCCCTGAATGGTGAATGGGGACCACCATCATCCTTTTGGAACAACTTGGACCTCTGCATCCCCATACCATTAACTACTGCACCTCCACTACACATGCTCCCATCCTAGTACAGCCTCCTGCAATGGTAGCACCTCCTGCCTTGAAGCAACCTGAACACCCCAGTCCTTGCAGTTCACCAGCTTCCTCTTCTTGCCCCTACTCCCACCCCATTGAACCCTCTGAACACCAGCCACCTGAGTGGTCAGAACAACACCCCCACCACATACACTATGCCTTTTTCTGTAAGAGATAGTAGGCCCAGCTTACAGAGATTGCTAAGAAAATCCCTACATTTGAGCCATTGACAGACCCAATGAATTTTTTGATCACACGCGTCACTATAGTGTCCTGTCCAGGCTTGATGACACTGAAGATGTGAAATTAATCTTACAATGCCTGAGTCCAGCTATCTATTCTGCTTTCTCTGGGCCTCAGAATGTAGGAGGAGGTACTTTGAATGACATGAAGAAGCTAATCCTTACCACAGTAGAGTACAGTAGGGAGACTCTGTGGAAGGATTGAATAAATGCAGGCAGAGGAAAAGAGAGCACCCAACTGCATTTGTCAGGCACCTGTGGACACAGGTGACATGGACAGAGCTATGCTAACAAAGCCACAAAGGGCCAAAGAGACTGGAACCCTTGTTTCACACACCACTGAGGTGGTAAAGAAGGTAGGTAAGCATTTCCACCCAGCAATGAAGCCCACACTGAGGCTTGGGTACTTAGAACGATGACCCCGGCCTGGGAGAAAGAGTTGCAGCTGTTAGAGGACCCTAAACACAGCAAGGGATGCAAGATAAACCAGCTGAATGTGGGAAATGTGGCCTCAAATCCGATGTACCCCCAAAACCCGCATGCCCCAAACCCTGTATACCCGAACACTGCATAGCCCAAACCCTGCATACCCCAACCCCACGTACCCCAAATGTGTATACCCCAACAGGCCAATCCCTAGATCCTGTATGGTGGAGGAATTGACAGAAATAAGGAGGTTACATCTGTCCCCAGTATGTGCCTCCTGTCGTGAGAGGCAAGGTCCTGCAGCAGGGAAGTCCGAGGCAGCAGCTGCCACAGGGAAAATGTTATTTTGTGGATGCACAGGCCATTTGTTAGAGATTGTAGGACACCCCATGAGCAAGCCTGACCACAGAAACAAGAAATAGAGACCCCCATCCTTACGGCTAGAGAGACAGGTGAGGCAAGCCTTATAAATTCAATGGGGGAGATGACATAGCCCCATATGTCTTCAATTGGATACACTTCCAAGAATGTGCCAGTGGTAGGCCCCTCCACAGTGGGACAGAATAGTGTGAACCCTGGTGGAAGGGAAAGTAGGAGGTCAGCCCATCGAGTTCCTATGGGACACAGGGGAGCCAGAATTATTCTTAACACATCCTGTGATTTAAATATATGGCACATATGTCGGAAAATTGTCCTTACTGGTTTCATTGGAGAGAGCAGAGACAGACCCTTTAGCATTTTAATTGGGAAATGTGATTCGACACCACCCAGCAATGCTAATGAGGCAGAACACATCCTGGGCTCGGACCTTATGCCGAGGTGTAATTTGTTGTTCAGCCCAGCAAACTGCTGCATCTGGCAGATGCCCAAAGCTGATAAGGCCACAGCAGGAGTTGCTACAGGCATATATTTAGAATGGGTTTGTACCATGGGGAGTTATGGATTAAACAAACTGAAATGACATGATTCAGCAGCGCAGGCAATTCTGGTGAAGCACACCAAAAGCATTCACTAGCCATAAACATGACTGTGGTCACATGATCAGTGAGGTACTGACTGAAGGACTGGACCCAAAACCACAGAGACAGCACACCATTCTGAAGCAGGCAGACGAGACAGTAGCCAAGGTCATCAACAGCTAACTGCAACAGGGAATCTTACGCCTTTGGCATCCATTAACAATTCATCAATCTGGTCAGTTAGGAAACCAGATACGTCTTGGCAACTTACTATTAATTATTATTAATTGCCACTTCTCACACTTCTGCCCTCATCCTTTCTCTTACCTCCCACAACACTGATAGGTGTTCGTGGTCCTCACTTCCCATCAGCATCTGCATCCAAAGAAACATAAGCCGCCATTTCCGCCACCTCCAGCAGGATACCTCCACGAGAGACATAGTCCCCTCCTCTCCCCTCCCTCGTCAGCCTTCCATCGGGACCATTCCCTCTTAAACACCCTGGTCCACTTCTTCTTCACTTTCAACACTCCCACAGCACCACCGCATGCAATCGTACAGAGTGTAACATCTGTCCCTTTGCTTCCTCCCTCCTCACTATCCAAGGCTCCAGACACACTTTCTAGATGAAGCAGTGATTTACCAGCACTTCACTCAGTCTAATCTACTGTATTTGATGCTCACAATGTGCTCTCCTCTACATTAAGGAGACGAAACACATACTGGGCAACACTTATGTTCCGTCTGCAAAAATGACTCTGAGCTTCAACACACCACCCCTGGCCAACATTTCCATCTTGGGTCTGCTGCTGTGCTCCCGTGAGGCTTAGCTCAGCTGGAAGAACAGAATCACATTTTCCACTTGGGGACTATGCTGCCTTCAGGACTCAATATCCTTTACCCTTTCCACAGTCCAGGCCTTATCATGACATGGGCTGCTTTCAGCACAGTCAATCCATTTTCACTACATATGGTCCTCATGATCAGATTTTCTCCTTCCCTGGCATTGCATTATCCTTCCCTATGTTTGCCCAGGATGGGACAGGAATTGCATGTGGGAGAAGCCCCTGGGAAGTGGTAGGCAATTAAAAAGGCAAGTTGGGTAAAATGCAGCAAGAGAACTCACTGGGCCTACAGTGTAAACCCTTACAAAAAAACTCAACACAACTCAACAAAAGACATTTCTAAATTGACAAGGAGATGATTGGGAGTAGGGGAGATGTTGGATTGTAATTGAGCTATTACATATGTGTGTACCAAAGGGTTCCTTTTGAGATTTATTGAGGGCTACCTTTTGGTTTTCAGAGACTTCTTTTACGTTTTCACTAACTCATTTATTAGATGATGTACTCATGTAGCAACGTTATCTTCTGTATTTGTGTTGATGTAAGGCGGAAAGTAGATTCACAAAAACAGAATTAGAAGACTTCATCAATATCCTCAAAGTCACCATCTACTCGATTAAACCTAGAGACATAATATGGAAAGCACAAATTTTGTAGACACTACAGTATTTAAATTGGCACAATAGGCATGAGGTAGACTTTTTAAAAATCTGATACACACTTAAATAAACAAATATCCAACACCGTAAATGGGACAATATTTTAGGGCATCAGACTTATGTACTCTGACTGTACCAAAGAAATGGTTATGTCTTACTGGCAAAAATATGAGGTCCATATTGCCCTGCAAGGGGGACATTTGGAAGAAATAAAAAGGATTTTGAGAAAGGCACACAGCTTAGATGTTACTTGTTAAGATGATATCTGGAACTGGGGAGTAATATATATACAGCCACTTTGGTTCATATTATTTTACATCTCATTGTTATTATTATTTTATGTACTTGGATATATCTTACTATCAGGTTTCACTGTTGGCGCCAGCAACAAATGCAGCAGTTGAAAAGGAAATTAGTTTTGTTAAAATATGATAATCTTAAAACTGCAATGTGTGTTGCATTGTGTTATTTCACAGTAATAGCTTATTTTCTTTATTGTCATGCTTATTCCCCTATTTTTTGTGATTTATTTATTGATTATCATTCTGTAAATCATTTATTGATTATTAGTTTGAGCATATCTGTCTTATATAACTAAATGATGCATTTTTAAATTGTACATGGTGCAGCAACTCAACTTGAATATGAACTGATGTGGGGGGAAATGACCAATTATACTCATGTTTGTTCATCATTTTAAAAATAATGAAGAGGAGGGACTGTGATAGTGTAAACTTCAGAACTTTAATAACTGTTCAATGGATTGAAAGAATCTGCAATAACAGTCTAGAATAAACTATTAAGGGATAAGGACAAACTGTTATACAAGAATTGAAAGCCATTAGGACAAGAAAGAATGTAAACTACATAAACAAAACTGTTCGAACAACTGCTTGATAACTGGCTGCCTTATGCCACAAGGATAAATGATTGCCTTGGAGTTAATCGCAGGAAGACTGTGTCAGACAGGAAGACAGCCAATGCCAAATGTAATAAGGAACATCAAATCTATTCCTGATAAGATGGCAACTACAGACTTGATGAATCCAGAGGAGTTCCTTGATAAAGTTTCAATAATGTTGTGTTAGACCTCCCCCTAACTCTTGTCCCATTTGTCTATCTCACAGTGTAAAATGTCTGAGTTAAAAAGATTACTACAAACTGGTCAGGGTTAGTCAGTGTGTGCCATCATGAGTACATGTCCTTAACTATTCATGGCACTTTTCTTAAAGTTCTTATGGAAAAGAGACAAATGAGTTAAACAGACGAACATAGAAAATGGAGGAGACCATGTAATCCATCAAGCCTGGTCTGGCAATTAATATGATTATGGCTGATCAAACATTTCAATTACTGTAACCCACACTATCCCCATAGCCCTTTATGCATTTGGAAATCAGAAACCTATCAATCTCTATTGATAATTAACTCATAGTCTAAATTTTCTGGGCTAAAGAGTTCCAAAGATTCACAAACATCTGAGTAAAAACAATCTCCTTGTCTCAGTGCTAAATGGCAGCGCTGTTATTTGCAATTTGTAAATTGCATGGTTCTAGGCTTGATAACCAGAGGAAACAGCTTGTCTGCATTGACCCTGCCTATGCGATTACATATTTTGTCAGGTTCAGTTAGGTTTTTCCCTTATTCATTCACAGGATGTGGGTACCAGAAGGCAGTTATGTGTCAACCACATTGCTGTGGGTCTGGATTCACATGTAGGCCACTCCTGGTGAACCAGATGGATTCT